CTCAGACAACACCACAAAGAACAACAGAGGAAACTAAGTGCCAAGTACAGTAGAGTACTGATTTCATCACCCTAACTTAGATACAGGGCCGGACTAACAGATTTGGGGCCCCGGGGCACCTACCTCCAGGGGGCCCCTCAACCTCCCCCCATGAAAATATTATAAAGAGGTTCTACGGAAAACTACTTTTTTTTTTAGGAAAAGAGCTAACTTCCTGCATTTCAACACCCATTGAGCATGTTTGGGATGCTCTGGATCGACGTGTACAACAGCGTGTTCCAGTTCCCGCCAATATCCAGCGACTTCGCACACAGCCATTGAAGAGGAGTGGGACAACATTCCACAGGCCAGAATCAACAGCCTGATCAACTCTATGTGAAGGAGATGTGTCGCGTTGCAACTAAAATACCCAAAGCTGAAAAGGACGAGAGGTTTACCTTGGGATTCAGGTCTGATAGGTGGATAATCCTGCCTGCTTTTTAGGCAGGTTATAATGTACATGAGGAGAATGTGTGATGTCAAATGTTTAATAAAACATGTGGCATTACTTTAAAGTGGCAATCAGCAATTGAAACAATAACAAATGGTGTCCCCGCCCATTTCCGTTAAAATGGGGCTGGAGAAATGTAACCACTCAAATTCATATACAGAGCCATGGATGCAAAGACTGACCATCCATGATATCAAAATTATAGTTTTAACCATGTTTGTAGGGTTTGTTTACATTTACTTTGTTTACAAACATTGGAGTAAAACCAGCTTATATTTTGGGTTCTGATGGGGTACGACAGTTGAACAAAGCTCATGAGGCATTTATAAGTTATATTCTTCAAGAATCAATGGGTACATATCATTTATCCACAAGTCCAAAAATGTATTTAGCAACTGTAGATTGCCCCTTTAAAGGGTGCTGTTGAGTGTCATCATTTAGGCCAGGGCCAGGTGTTTTCCCTGACCTCCTCACCTGGTAAGGAATAACTCTGGGTCATAGTTAAAGTCTATATAACTAGGAACCAGTTTTAATTTTCTGGGTCAGGGCCCGTATTCATAAAGTGTCTCAGAGCAGGAGTGCTGATGTAGGCTCAGGTCCTCCCCATCCTCTGAAGCTAACCAGGGTTGGTTCTAGTCGGTCCCTGGTTGGGAGACCAGATGCTGCTGGAAGTGGTGTTGGAGGGCCAGTAGGAGGCACTCTTTCCTCTTTTCCCAAAAAATAATAATATTCTAAATGCCCCAGTGCAGTGATTGGGGATATTTCCCTGTGTAGGGTGCTGCCTTATCGGATGGGACGTTAAACGGGTGTCCTGACTCTGTGGTCACTAAAGATCCCATGGCACTTATCGTAAGAGTAGGCGTGTTAACCCCAGTGTCCTGGCTAAATTCCCAATCTGGCCCTCATAACCTCATGGCCACCTAATCCTCATAATTCATCTCCGCTCCCCTTTAACTATTCCCCAGGTCCTTGCTGTAAATGAGAATGTGTTCTCAGTCAACTTACCTGGTGAAATAAGGGTAAAATAAAAATCCATATAACCCAAGATCAGCAATCCTATTCTAAGACGCTTTGTTAATACGGGACAGGTCTCACAGTCAGGAAACATTCCTCCTCCTTGTCTTCATCAATACTCATTGCTTAAACCCCAGGTCACCTTTTCCATAAACGTATGCTGCCATTTGTCAAAGAATGACTAAGAAAGTGATAAAATACCTAAACTCTTTATCAGGGTGTCAAGAAAAACTCAACGCACTTCAAAAATGTGCCTTCTATCACACACTCAGTTTGCCCCTGTCAAGTGGATAATAAAATCTGTGGGAGAGTTTGTGACTGTCTCTCAGGGTTTATGCCTGGTACAGTGAGCATGTACTGTAGGGTGTGTGTGTGTGTGAGTGTGTGTGTTCGATGTCTGGGGTTAACTGCTTCTGTTTCATGTGTGACCCTTTTGGTATGTGAACGTACGGTACCCCGGAACCACACTGGAAGGATGACACACACACACAGCAGGACCGGTAGGCACCATTGTTTCATAAAGGATTAGCCCTGGACCTCAGTCACTGTCTGGACTTTGGACCCCACAGCAGGCAAGTCAGACAGTCCATCAGCCAGCCAGACACACAGTCCCAGTTGTGCCTGGCACAGCACAGCACAGCACAGGACAGTATCAAGGAGTGTAAAGAGACATTACATTCCTTGGACAGTATAAGGATATACAGGGAGTTATTTAAGACATAGCTACACTAGCTTTTAAGGAAAAATAGCTTTCAAAGTTAGATCTCTTTACTTTCCTCCATTACGTCGTTCACAGTTATCCTCATTTCACTGTTTTATCTCCCTCCTTAAGGCTATTATTTAAACGTTCTTATTTTTTTCATAATGGTGGGATGTCTGAATTCAGGCAAGGCATAAAAAAAATTCAACGTGTCATCTTTAATTTCACAGTTACAATCATTGTTTTTTCCAGTGTCTTGAAACCATAAAAATAAATATACATATGTTACAAAACAATTCCAGTGTCTTTGATCATACAAAAAATGACATTTTGTACAGTGCCGATCACATGATAGGAAGCGTTATAAAGGCCTTACTTGTGTAGTGGTTAGTTTGACATTAGAGACTCCATACCATACAGTGCTATGAAAAAGTATTTTCCCCCTTTCTAATTTTCTCTACTTTTGCATATTTGTGATATTGAATGTTATCAGATCTTCAACCAAAATCTAATATTAGATAAAGGGAACATAAGTGGACAAATAACACAACAATTACATATTTATTTCATAAACAAAGTTATGCAACACGAGATGGGTCCCATTATGCCTGGCGAAAACCAAACACTGCATTCCACAGTAAGAACATCATACCAAAGGTCAAGCATGGTGGTGGTGGTGTGATGGTTTGGGGATGCTTTGCTGCCTCAGGACCTGGACGACTTGCCTTAATAGAAGGAACCATGAATTCTGCTCTGTATCAGGGAATTCTACAGGAGAATGTCAGACCATCCGTCTGTGAGCTGAAGCTGAAGCGCAGCTGGGTCATGCAGCAAGACAATGATCCAAAACACACAATCAAGTCTACATGAAAATTGCTAAAAAGCAACAAATTGGAAGTTTTGGAATGGCCTAGTCAAAGTCCAGACCTAATCCCAATTGAGATGTTGTGGCAGGATTTGAAACTAGCAGTTCATGCTTGAAAACCCACACGTCACTGAGTTAAAGCAGTTCTGCATGGAAGAGTGGGCCAAAATTCCTCCATAGCGATGTGAGAGACTGATCAACAACTACAGGAAGCATTTGGTTGGAGTCATTGCAGCTAAAGGTGGCACAACCAGTTATTGAGTGTAAGGGGGCAATTACTTTTTCACACAGGGGAATTGGGTGTTGCATAACTTTGTTTATGAAATAAATGAAATAAATATGTAATTGTTGTGTTATTTGTTCACTTATGTTCCCTTTATCTAATATTAGGTTTTGGTTGAAGATCTGATAACATTCAGTATCACAAATATGCAAAAGTAGAGAAAATTAGAAAGGGGCCAAATACTTTTTCATAGCACTGTATATGTACTGCAGTGGTTCTTTACCTACTTTGGTAAGCAGAATAATGGGTATGTACTGCTGACCTGTGTTCAAATGTTTTCTTTCAAATACTCCCCAAAATTTGGGGTGCATACCTGGAGTGCCAGATTGGCATAGTTTGCAGAGTGATAATGTTTGCTAGTCTGAGCCACAGAAGAACATGTCCTATAATTTCTCCACAATCAGAAAGGATTTCTAGAATTGTTGTTTTTACAAAAGCATTTTCTTTTCAATTTACAAATATGTATTTTTGTCTCTCATCCACGATGACAGTTGAAATACAAAATATAGAATTTTTTGAAATATCTACATATTAATAAAAGCATTGGGTGAAAGGCAGTGCTCCTCTTTCTATGAGTAGCTTGGAGGAACAGGGCACTTGGTAAGTCACTGAGTTTCTCCTGAACTTCCTGTACGCCTCCTGTAGGCCTCCACAACTCTGACTGTACCGGCACACAGTGGTCATACATCCATACATCCGTATATGTATCAGTCCTGAGGCTCTTAAGAGTCTTTGATCGACCAATGTGAGTCACTCATTCTGGGGGATGTAGTCTTTCTTCACCTCCTCTTCTAGTGGTTTGGCACAGGAGGTTCCATTAGTCCAGTAGGTAGGACCCCCTCCTTTACTTGGTTTAGTCTGACACATACATTCCCTTTTCTTGTCTTTAGTTTAGTCTGGCAGGCGTGGCTCTGCAGTAATACTACTCTCCTTAGGAGCTGAAGAGGGTGAGAGGTCAAGGGTGAGAGGTGAGGGACGAGAGGTCACTTCTCCATTGCACATGGGCATGATACCTTCTCTCTTTATACCTATCCTTTTCTCCTTTACTCTCTTGTTTTCTCCTCTCTTTTCCTTTCATTGTCCTTTCTTCTCTTGTTCCTTTCTTCTCCTCCTCCTCTCCTCTACTCCAGTGAGAGGTCATCTTTTCTCCTCTCATAAGGGCAGAGAGACTCTGGTTTTCCTGCTGGGTCAGATTGAAGTTTCATTACTGCCGCTGTTCCGGGAGAGAGAAAGGGATGGAGGGAAGGATAAAGGGAGGGGAGGATAGAGGGAGGGGAGGATAGAGGGAGGGGAGGGAAGGATATAGGGAGGTGAGGAGGGGAGACATGCTGGGTTAGATGTGTGCAGGTAGGGATGCAGGCTAACATCACTAGACAGTGTACAACCACGTGCAGCATTCATATGTGGGATGGGAACTTTCATTCATACAGTACACATAGACATGTGCAACAGCGAAATATGTCCTCCTTATGTGATAACTTCACCTAATACATGCAGGTCAGCATCAATAGTCTCCATGGTCAACAGATGCATGTCATTAAACTGTCTATAATGCAATCTGACATAAAAAATAATCCACTCATTCACTATTTAGGCTAAAAGGAATCTGAAAAACACCACACACAAGAATAACACTATGACATCATCATCACGCGACTACCCACTCGGAGTCTGATTCGTTGCCTCCGTTGGTCGTCATCGCCGTCATGCTCATATCCACGCCCCCATTCTGTGGTAATTGTGGCCGTGGGGCGATCGGCGGCTTGATGATTACGCTGTTGCTGTTGCCCACAGATACGGGGCGCACCCCGTCGTTGGAGGCCACGGAGGGGGTCTTGGATGGAGGGATGATGGGGGGAGGGATGGAGGAGGAGATGGTGGGAGGGTTGTAGTCACTCAGCTTCTCTCTCAGTCGGTTCTTCATGTTCTTGTCGGTCAAGGGAGGAGGGTACGTGATCTTGTTCTTCAGGATGCCTGAGATGGGAAGAATACAGAATCTTTAGATTTGTTTTAGGTGTAATAACAAAACTTTTACAAATGGATAAAGACAGGGCCAATATATTGTATGCTTGGATGAATGATTTGAATGAACAAACAAACGAGTGAGTGAATGAACAAACAAACAAACACACAAACCAACCAACAAAAAATAAAAAAATAAAATAAGGAATGTCTACATCTCTCACCCTTCTTCGGCTCAGGCTGGTGGGTGCTGGGAGGCCCATTGGAAGGTCCATTGGAGGGTAGACTGGGAGGTCCGTTCTCCCTAGTGGGGGTCTCCCTGTCCTGGGGTGTCTCTCCTCTCTCTCCTACATGGTTGAGTTTGTTCTCCTGGTGCAGCTCCACGTTCACCTTGGTCTCCACCCTCAGCCGTTCTGCACCCCCAGGATCCTCGCTGTCACTGGCTGTCGTCGCCTCCTTGGGCCAGTAAGGCTTCACGTGATTGGACACTGCTTCCACTAGGGTCAGAGGAAGAAGAAATATGAGCCAATCAGAACTTTGGTTGTAGGTAGTACTACCATACCACAGTAAATAAAAAATATGTCTGCAGGTATAATGCACTATAATCCAGTTATAATGTATTCTAAAGACTTATGTCATCTTATCAGTGAGTCATTAAGAATGAATAAAAAGCTAAATGAGAGAAACTGCAGTGCTTTCTGAGCAGTGAGACCATGGATGTTTCGGGTAACTGATAGGTACCCGTTAGGGTGAGGGGTGTTTTGGTTTAGAAATGGATGGCTACCTTTGGGTGCGATGCTGGGCCCTTTGGGTGTGCTGTGTAGAGGCTGTCTCTCATTGTTCCACTTGGGCTTGATGTCCATGTCATCATCTTCGCTGTCAGAAGAGTGAGACGAGGCATAGGACGAGCTGTGTTCATCTACAGACAACTCACTGTCCGAGTCCGAGTCTGAGAGAGAGAAAGAGAGAGAGGGAGACCAAAAGACAAAAAGAGAGAAAGAGCAACACATGAATACATTATACAGACACACAGCTCACTGCTGTGAAGACCACACACCATCTCCATCTACTCTTATAAAAAGGACAGTTTGATGGAGTTTGAATCAGATCATGATATGGCTTACCGTCTCCTCCTTTAGTGCCGTTCCTGTGGAACAGAGATCCGTCCAGGTCAGTGTGTCCTGCTTTAGCTGTCCCCGACGACACACTGGGCTTCTGACCAGAGTCACCCCTACATCAGAGAGAAGGCCAAACACAGGTTAGTTACACAGCTAGGTGTAATCACATTGAACTTACTATAGAGCTGCAGAAGAACTGATGACGAACTTCACCTGGGCAATGGATGAAGTGGAATTTCCCCCCATTTTGTCTCTTTTCCCTGAACATAATGTAAGAGTAATAACTTTTCCAAACTCTTATAGATTTAGACATTAGCCAGAGGGCCTACAGCAATACTGTACTGTAGCTAACCTGTCTGATGCTTTCTGATCTAAGAGTTAGGCTTGCTGGGGCTGGAGCCTAACCAACAAAAGCCAGCTGTGTGTGTCTGAAATATTCTACCAGGTACTGTATATGCCTCCCCCTCCAGCCAGACACTCCCCACCCACTGAGCTTAGCCCTTGTTGACCTGTGTATGTGTGTGTGTGTGTGTGTGTGTGTGTGTGTGTGTGTGTGTGTGTGTGTTTGTGTGTCGTCTCTTTTTGTATGCTTGCGTGTTTGACAAACTGCTGTGTTATGCTGAGCCATGCTTTGCCTGCATGCGCGTGAAATCATATTCAGAAAGGTAGAAAAACAGTCACAAAACCACAGAGAGAGAGAGCAAGAGAGAGAGAGAGAGAGAGAGAGAGAGAGAGTGAGAGAGAGAGAGAGAGTGAGTGAGTGAGTGAGTGAGTGAGTGAGTGAGTGAGTGAGAGAGAGAGAGAGAGAGAGAGAGAGAGAGAGAGAGAGAGAGAGAGAGAGAGAGAGAGAGAGAGAGACAGAGCTCAGAGATGCTGTGGAGGGGGGCTGCTACAAGGGTTAGTGTGGTTGAGCTAGTCACGCAGTGAGAGAGAGCGAGAGAGAGAGAGAGAGATGGCTCAGAGATCAAAAGAGTAACAGAGAAAAAAAGAGAGATCCAGACTGAGAAAGGACAGACAGTTTTGCCATTGCCATAGCCATGCGGCAGCCACCGTGTTACCTGAGTGTGTAAGCGAGGTAGCTGCTGTGGCTTTTGGCTGACCTGACGGTACTCTCCAGGGAAACAGTGGACTCCCCAATGGCTGACCTGTACAGAGGACCGTCCTCAGTGTACGTGGTGTTACAGTTCAGAGACCGCTGGAGGGAGGGGGGATTGGTTGGAAGGAGGGTGGGAGAGGGGGGGGGGGATGGGGGAGAAAGAAACCAGTCAGTACTAGACAGTAAAGATATCTGTTTATCTCCTTATGTGTGTGTGTTTATCCGTGTGTATACTTACAGTGAGTAGAGATGCTCTGGTAGTGCTGGACTCATCCGGTAAAGCCCTCTTCCCAGTAAAGACATTCTTCAGATTCTTCCTCACTTCTTTATTAAAGATCACATGGAAGAAGAAGATGATGATGCCCTATAAGGAGACGGAGAGAGAGGGTCAGTCAAAGCCTTTACAAAATCCATTCTCTTCAATGATATTAGGCCAGGGCCTGCATTCATAAATTGTCTCAGAGTAGAGTGCTGATCTAGGATCAGGTCTCCCCTGGCAATGTAATCTTATTCAATATTATCTAAAAGGCAAAACTGATCGTAGATCAGTACGCCTACTCTGAGACGCTTTATGAATGCAGGCCCTGGCCTAATATCAGTGAAGAGAATGGATTTTGTCACGGCTGGTGATCACTGGTGTACAGTAAGGCTGAGTTTTAGCTTCTAGAGTCTAGTGAATGATAGTGGACTGTACAGCCTGACCCGTGACCTTTAACCCTGAGCCCTGTCCCTGACCCCTCACCTGCAGACAACTGAAGATGGCGAACAGGTAGTGAAAGGTCATGACATCACTGTTGACGGCCATGAGGCCCAACAGCCAGGTGGCGCTGATGAGCAATAGGAGCATGAAGGCCATCCTCAGAGCAGGACTATGTAGGGGGAGGGAGGTAGACGGAGAGACTCAGATTATAACACACACAAACACACAGTCACCCGCATGTATGCACACACACAACATAACACACTGTCACGGTTTCGGCCGAGGCGGCCCCTCCTCCTTGTTCGGGCAGGTTTCGGCGGTCGTCGTCTCCGGAGTACTAGCTGCCACCGTTCTATGTTTCTTGTTTGATTGGTTTTGTCTGTTTGTCACACCTGTTTTGTGTTAGGTCTCATTAAGCACCCTATTTAGTTCCTTGTTGTTAGGTTAGTTTAGGTGTTGTGTGTAATTGTTCCTTGTCGTGTTGCTGCGCTACCTGTTTTGGTGCGCTATTTTGTAGCTTACCTCCTTGTTTGTTTTAAGGAGAAGATTACGCACATGTTTAGTGCGCCCGTTTGTTTACGCCTGTGCGCGCTTTTCTCGCCTCCGGGCTGTTTTTGGATTATATTTTGTGTGATCTACTAAAGTCTTTGTTGGACTTAACTTCTGCGTCCTGCGCCTGATTCCACACCACACCTACCTACAGCAACTCTTGACAGAATTACACACCATCGAATGGAATCAGCAGGAGCACCCACCGACATCATGGAGGAGCGTCTCCGAGGTCAAGATGATCGGATTAATCAGATCGGGCACGCTTTGGACCGGGTGATGAACATTCTCCATCGTTGGGAGACCAGCGATGTACCCACACCTCCACCTACCGCACCATCACCTTCGGTCAACCCGCCCGTCCAACAACCGGAACCCAGTGGGATTCGGCTCTCGCTCCCGAGGGCGTACGACGGCACCGCTGCCGGGTGTCAGGGGTTCCTGTTACAGGTGGAGCTCTACCTTGCCACCATACACCCGGCGCCCTCGGGATACGAGAGCGTTTCCGCCCTCATCTCCTGTCTCACCGGCAAGGCGTTGGAGTGGGCCAACGCCGAATGGAGGGGAATAGACGCCGCCACAGTCACCTATGCAGAGTTCTCCCGCCGCTTCCGTGCGGTCTTCGACCATCCACCAGAAGGGAAGGCGGCGGGGGAGCGTCTATTCTACCTCCGACAGGGGATGAGGAGCGCTCAAGAGTTTGCGCTGGAGTTCCGGACTCTAGCGGCAGATGCAGGGTGGAATGAGCGGGCCCTCATAGACCACTTTAGATGCAGCCTTCGGGAGGACGTCCGCAGAGAGTTAGCGTGCAGGGATACTACACTAACATTTGACCAGTTGGTGGACATGGCCATTCGGCTGGACACCCTGCTCGCGACCCGCGGACGTCCCAGGTGGGGGCCGCCCATTCTACCCTCCAGCGCCTCCGAGCCGAGCCCGATGGAGCTTGGAGGTGCTGGCGCTAGAGGGAGGAGTAGAAGGAGCCCGAGGGGGGCAGTCTCCTGCACCAACTGTGGTCGCGGAGGGCACACCGCGGCTAGGTGCTGGGGAGGGTCCCCTGGTGAGGGAGATGGCAGGTCACACATTGGGGAGTCCTCCCAGGTGAGTAGGCGCCCTACTTACCCAGAGCTTTCTGTCGTACACATAACATTACCTGTTTGTTTCCCACAGGTTGCACCTCGTTCCCAGCATAAGGCGCTAGTCGATTCAGGCGCAGCTGGGAATTTTGTAGATCGTAAATTCTGTGTTGAGTTAGGGATTCCCCTCCTTCCGGTCGATAAGCCTTTCCCTGTACATGCCCTAGATAGTCGTCCGTTAGGATCTGGGTTGATTAGGGAGGTCACGGCGCCACTTAGGATGATGACGCAGGACGGTCATGAGGAGACGATTCAACTCTATCTGATCGACTCTCCTGCGTATCCGGTGGTACTGGGGCTTCCCTGGTTGATTACCCATGATCCTACGATTTCGTGGCGAGAGAAGGCTCTTAAAGGGTGGTCTGCTCAGTGTGAGGGGCTATGTCTGGGTGTTTCCGTAGGGGCGACCTCGGTGGAGAGTCCGAACCAGATGCCAGCACTGCACATTCCGCCTGAGTATGAGGATTTGGCACTCGTGTTTAGTAAAACAAGAGCGGCACGGTTGCCGCCTCATAGACAGGGAGATTGTGCGATAGACCTCCAGGCAGGAGCTGCGCTCCCGCGGAGCCATGTGTATCCTTTGTCACAGGAGGAGAAAAGGGCAATGGAGACATACATTGCCGAGTCTCTGAGACAGGGATACATACGGTCCTCCACTTCTCCCGCGTCCTCGAGCTTCTTTTTTGTGAAGAAAAAGGATGGAGGTTTGCGTCCGTGTATTGATTACCGCGGTCTCAATCAGGTGACTGTGAAATATAGTTATCCACTCCCGCTGATTGCGACCATGACGGAGTCCTTACACGGGGCACGGTTCTTCACAAAATTGGACCTCAGGAGCGCATATAACTTGGTGCGCATTAGGGAGGGCGATGAGTGGAAGACAGCATTTAGTACTACCTCCGGCCATTACGAGTCTCTCGTCATGCCATATGGTTTAATGAATGCTCCATCAGTCTTCCAATCTTTTGTAGATGAGATTTTCCGGGACATGCAGGCGCAGGGAGTAGTGGTGTACATAGATGATATTCTTGTGTACAGTTCTACTCGGGCCGAGCATGTAGCCCTGGTGCGCAGGGTACTGAGGAGACTGTTGGAGCATGACCTGTATGTCAAAGCCGAGAAATGTCTGTTCTTCCAGGAGTCAGTCTCCTTTTTGGGTTACCAGTTGTCTGCGTCAGGGGTGAGAATGGAGGTTGACCGGGTGTCTGCCGTGCGTAATTGGCAAACCCCAACTACGGTTAAAGAGGTGCAGCGGTTCTTGGGTTTTGCGAATTACTACCGGAGGTTTATCCGGGGTTTTGGACAGGTGGCAGCTCCCATAACGTCTCTTCTGAAGGGGGGTCCGGTGCGCTTGCGGTGGTCGGCTGAGGCGGACAGGGCTTTTGGGAGACTGAAGGACCTGTTTACCTCGGCTCCAGTGCTGGCGCACCCGGATCCCACTTTACCCTTCCAAGTAGAGGTAGACGCGTCTGAGGCCGGTATCGGGGCAGTTCTTTCACAACGGTCCGGCACACCACCTAAGCTCCGCCCCTGTGCTTTTTATTCTAAAAAGCTCAGTCCGGCGGAGCGGAATTATGACGTAGGGGACAGGGAGCTGTTAGCCGTAGTACAGGCCCTAAAGGTGTGGAGGCATTGGCTTGAGGGGGCTCAACACCCTTTCCTCATTCTGACCGACCACCGTAACCTGGAATACATTCGGGCAGCTAGGAGACTGAATCCTCGCCAGGCTCGATGGACTATGTTTCTCGCCCGGTTTGTGTTCAAGATCACTTACATCCCTGGGTCCCAGAACGGGAAGGCAGATGCCCTGTCTCGGCGGTATGACACGGAGGAGAGGTGCGTGGAGCCCATTCCCATACTACCGGAGTCTTGTCTGGTGGCACCGGTGGTGTGGGAGGTCGATGCGGAGATCGAGCGGGCATTACGCACCGACCCTAGCCCTCCACAGTGTCCGGTGGGTCGGACGTACGTCCCGCTCGAGGTCCGGGATCGGCTGATTTATTGGGCTCACACGTCACCCTCCTCTGGATATCCAGGTATTGGCCGGACAGTGCACTGCCTTAGTACAAAATACTGGTGGCCAACGTTAGCCAGGGATGTGAGGGTTTATGTCTCCTCCTGCTCAGTGTGTGCCCAGTGTAAGGCGCCCAGACACTTGCCCAGGGGTAAATTACAACCCCTGCCCATTCCACAACGACCCTGGTCTCACCTCTCGGTGGATTTTGTTACCGACCTTCCCTCCTCACGAGGGAATACCACCATCCTGGTCGTTGTGGATCGGTTCTCGAAGGCCTGTCGTCTCCTTCCCATGCCGGGTCTTCTTACTGCCCTACAGACCGCTGAGGCTCTATTTACTCACGTCTTCCGGCATTACGGGGTACCCGAGGATATAGTGTCCGATCGAGGCCCCCAGTTTACCTCCAGAGTCTGGAGAGCCTTTATGGAACGGTTGGGGGTCTCGGTGAGCCTTACCTCGGGTTACCACCCGGAGAGTAATGGGCAGGTCGAACGAGTCAACCAGGATGTGGGTAGGTTTCTGAGGTCATATTGTCAGGGCCGGCCGGAGGAGTGGGCGAGATATGTGCCCTGGGCCGAGATGGCACAGAACTCTCTCCGCCACTCCTCCACTAGACTAACCCCTTTCCAGTGTGTGTTAGGGTACCAGCCGGTTCTGGCACCTTGGCATGAGAGCCAGATCGAGGCCCCTGCTGTGGATGAGTGGGTGCGGCGCTCGGAGGAGACGTGGAACGCTGCACACGTCCATCTGCAGCGAGCCATCCGTCGACAGAAGACGAGCGCCGACCTACACCGCAGTGAGGGGCCAGTGTACGCACCTGGAGATCGAGTCTGGCTCTCAACCAGAAACCTGCCCCTCCGCCTGCCCTGCCGGAAGCTGGGTCGGCGGTTTGTGGGGCCTTTTAAAGTCCTGAGGAGATTGAACGAGGTGTGTTACAGGTTACAACTGCCCATTGATTACAAGAATATTAACCCCTCGTTCCATGTGTCTCTCCTCAGGCCGGTGGTAGCTGGTCCACTCCAGGATTTTGAGATAGAGGAGACTCCTCCGCCCCCGTTGGACATCGAGGGGGCTCCGGCATACACTGTTCGGACCATCCTGGATTCGAGACGCCGGATGGGGGGTCTCCAATATCTCGTGGAGTGGGAGGGGTACGGTCCGGAGGAGCGGTGCTGGGTGCCGAGGAGGGACATTCTGGATCCGTCCCTGCTGACCGAATTCCATCGTGGTCATCCTACGCGCCCTGCTCCGCGTCCTCCTGGTCGTCCCCGAGGCGGGGGGCGGCGCACGGCTGGAGCCGCGCGTCAAGGGGGGGGGTACTGTCACGGTTTCGGCCGAGGCGGCCCCTCCTCCTTGTTCGGGCAGGTTTCGGCGGTCGTCGTCTCCGGAGTACTAGCTGCCACCGTTCTATGTTTCTTGTTTGATTGGTTTTGTCTGTTTGTCACACCTGTTTTGTGTTAGGTCTCATTAAGCACCCTATTTAGTTCCTTGTTGTTAGTTTAGGTGTTGTGTGTAATTGTTCCTTGTCGTGTTGCTGCGCTACCTGTTTTGGTGCGCTATTTTGTAGCTTACCTCCTTGTTTGTTTTAAGGAGAAGATTACGCACATGTTTAGTGCGCCCGTTTGTTTACGCCTGTGCGCGCTTTTCTCGCCTCCGGGCTGTTTTTGGATTATATTTTGTGTGATCTACTAAAGTCTTTGTTGGACTTAACTTCTGCGTCCTGCGCCTGATTCCACACCACACCTACCTACAGCAACTCTTGACACACACACATGCACACACTCATACATACACGCATGGACGCACACCCACACAGTCGCGCATCCACAGACACACATGTAAGTCCTAGTAAGATGGTTAATGTAACATAGGCGTAGCTCCACAATAGAATGTAGAGAATGGCCTTTGATATCCTTAATCTCAAGCGTGTGTGCATGCGTGCGTATGTGCCTGCGTGTGTAATAATACTTACATGGCTCCAGACTTCTCGAAGGACCTCTGCCTGCGTCCACAGGATGCCTTAGCTGCCAGTACAAAGATGACGATATTGACCTGAGAGAGAGGAGAGAGACAGAGACAAGCATTAGTACCATGGCAGACAACATGATAAATTAACTTACAGTCAACTACAGATACACTCAAGACCTCTAATTGCAAATCACTCACTAACACAGGCATGGCATTTGCTAAGGAATTAGAGAGAGAGAGAGAGAGAGAGAGAGAGAGAGAGAGAGAGAGAGAGAGAGAGAGAGAGAGAGAGAGAGAGACAAAGAGAGAGAGAGACAGAGAAAGAGAGCGCGAGAGAGAGAGAGAGAGAGAGAGAGAGCAAAGGAAGGACAAAAAGAAAAGAAAAGGGCAAGGAGAGAAGAACGAGCAGAGAAAGAAAGAAAGAAAGAGAAGAATGTAACATTGAAAATAATCATGTAAAAGTAAGTATTAATCTATCGCTATTAGCACCATTTATCTCAGGCACTCACCAGGACGACTACAGAGATGGGTCCTGCGAAGCTCCAGATGAGAGTGTCGTGGACAGAGAGCCAGCAGAAGTCTGGGTTCCCATAGCCCTGAGGGTCAAGACCCACTGCCAGACCTGAGGAGGGGAGAACCAGAGAAACATATCAAGACTGTGTTAGCTGTAGGCCTACTGTAAAGTATGAGCATCACCTGTACTGGGCCAATAATACATTCACACCTATTAGAAACCCCACTAAACAACAATGTAAGTAGATGCATCAGGCTATTATTGATGGGAGAAGAGAATAGCAGAGAAAGGCTAGAAAGCCTGTGCATGGTTCATCCACAGATGATGTTGCAGGTCAAGCAAAGCATGTCGGAACAGCGTCTACCGTGTGCAGGCTTTCTTTCTTTATTCAAATCCATAGATATACACAGAGGCTTCATAAAACACCTCACTCTAGTGCACAACGGTGTAAGCTGATCTACACTGGTATTATCCATGAGAGAAGAGAGGAGCTGGGCTGGGTTAGGGACTTATTCTCTCCCCAGGCTTTGTGCGTTTGCCAGGGTGGAAGGTGATACCATTATGGGCCGACTGGCATCAGCAGACACAGGTCTAATCACCTACAGGAAGTCTTCAGGACAGGAGATGATATATAGCACTAGAGACTACTACTGGACAGAGACTTCAGGATGTCTCTCTCTCCCTCTCTCTTTCCACCTCTTCCTCTCTTCTGCTCGCTTCTCCTCTCTCTCCTGCTTCCTCTCTCTCTCTGCTCTCTCCCTCATATTATCTGGCTTTTCCTACTGCTCTCTTCCTCTCTCTCTCCCTCTCTCTCTCTCTTTCTCCCTCTCTCTCCACCAGGTTTCCCACAGGGATCAAAGGTTCCTCAAGGAGAGACAGGCGAGTCGGTGTACGGCAGAAGACAGACAAGATGGCTTCTGACTCGTAGGTGTGACTAGGTTTGTTTACCTGGGATTGGGGTGACTGAGTTTAAGTGTGTGTGTGTGTGAGTGCGTGAGTGCCCATCCGTCTGTCCGCGTGTGCATCTGTGTGTGCATTCGTTATGTGTGTGTGTTTCCTCACCTGTGATGATTGCAGGTATGCCCCAGCCCATGGCGTAGTAGAATCTCATTTGACCGTGGTTGATGTTCCTGACCTCCGTCAGCATGCGGTAGATGTGGAGGCCCTCCACAAACATCCAGGCAAACGTACACATGTAGAAGTAGTGGAGCAAGATGGCGATCACCGTACACACAAACTACAGACAGAGAGTCACAGAGGGACAAGGTTAGAGATAACGAGGGACATCCATTTCAATCACATTGAGAACCACTAATCCAAGTTCCAAGTTCCATTCTTCAGCACTGGTCACACTACACTGAGGGTACAAAACATTAAGAACACCTTCCTAATAGAGTTATGTCTTGCCCATTCACTCTCTGAATGGCACACATACACAATCCATGTCTCAAGGCTTAAAAATCCTTCTTTAACCGGTCTCCTCCCCTTCATCTACACTGATTGAAGTGGATTTAACAAGTGACATCAATAAGGGATCATAGCTTTCACCTGCATTCACCTGGTCAGTCTATGTCATGGAAAGAGCAGGTGTTCTTAATGTTTTGTACACTCAGTGTATAGCCCTGAGTGTCTCTCTCCCTCCCTCCATCTCGCTCTACTTTTCTTTATCTCCCTCCATCCCTTGTTCCATGCAGTGTTCTTGGGAATCCCCCAGCAGGTAGGGGAGGGAGAGGACTAGAGCTAGATCCCAGTCTACAGAACAGAAGGGCATCAATCTAACAGGGCTGTGACTGACAACAGCATTCCACAGCACTGACACACACACACACACACGGCTAGGCTTCTAACTTCAGAATAAGAAAAGCACTTGGAAAAACAGAGGGTGAGTCAGTGAGTAAGTGTCGATCATTACTACTGTTGTAACAGAACAGCCAGAAGAGGACTGCCTTCTAGGGAGTTTTTCCTAGCCAATGTGCTTTTGCCTCTGCATTGCTTGCTCTTTGAGGTTTTAAGCTGGGTATCTGTAAAGCTTCTGATATAAAATACGTTGATTTGAATTTGATTTGAACAGTAACAGTCTATGAAGACAGACTCAGACCTGAGGCTCAAACAGTTAGGCACCAGTAACAGCATGTCTCTATTATCACAGGCCTTGAGGGACAGCAGGCCTATTAGTGTGTCTGTGTGTGTGTGTGTGTGTGTGTGTGTGTGTGTGTGTGTGTGTGTGTGTGTGTGTGTGTTGTGCAATACATTTCAGAGTAAATTGCATCAATGTACTTACTTTTATGTCAAAATACACTATTAGATTACTTGCTTATAGGCAAACCTTTATACTGCACTTACAAGGTAAAGGAATCACATGCTATGTGAATACACAGTATCGGACATCTCAGAGTGTCTTAAATAGGGAATGTATTTTTAGACAACAGAGAAATGGTTAGTCTCATCCAGTACAGTAAATTCCTGCTCTAACACTATTAGTGAAGCATCAGATGTATAATCTAGAAAAATCTAGCAGACAAAGACAACCTCTCAGGTAGGATCGATCCCTCTAAGCTCCTGTCAGCACCAGTACCTGAATGGCTCCAGGCAAACCAATAGCAGCAATTTACCAGAAACCGCTAACTGGAGTGAACCTGAAACACAAATCCCTGCTTTATCCCTTATCCTACCTGAAAATACACCACGCTACAGGAATAGGAAAAATACTGTATATGTTGGGGAGGAGTGTGTATGTGGGGGGACTGGGGAGGTGTGTTTGTGTGTGTGTGTATAATGTACGTGGGTTGTTTGTGTGTTTTAAACATTGCAATATGATTTTCAACAAAAATAGAAACCTGTGCAGGCAGACACAAGACTTTCCATAGTGTTGTAGAGCATGACTCTTTTCTCAGCTCAACAACAATGATGAATTCCCATAACGCCAGGGAGAAAATGGCTGCAGGGCTGTATTCCTGGGGTTATCCCAGGTGATCCCTTCAATTTGTAAACAAAATGACTCCATAATCAACATAATTAACAGAAGTGATATTTAAAGAATTAAATGTAACCTGTGCTCTAAGCAGAGAGAACAGAGGCACTAGTGTACTTCTAACACTTAAGCTTAAGAATCAGGAGTGCTACCAAACAACCAAGATATTTTTCATTCATATCCAGATAGTCACAAATACTAAACATTCCAAACTATCCCTGCTAAAGCATGGTCAATGTCATTTTCAGGAGTTTATAGGTCAGGGTTCCTTAATTTTCAGTCACTGGGTTTTCAGTCTTGTTGATGGGTCAGAGGTTAAAGTTCAGGGGTTAGAGGTCAGGGTCATGGTCATGGTTAGAGGTCACGATTAGGCTTCCTTAGTTCAGTTTATCTATTTGTCTGGTGGATTCGTCAGGGTTAGAGTCATAGAAGTCAGGGTCAGAGTAAGAGGTCAGGGTTCATAGGTTAAATGTTTCTCACTGGGTTGTCAGTCTGGTTGATGCCGATGAGGAAGACGAGCTCGGAGAAGAAGAGTGCCGCCACCAGGTTCCTGTGGATGCTGTGGAGGTTAGAGCGTAGCTTCCTGAGTAGAGCCAGCAGGATGAAGGTGAGGAGCAGGGCCACCAGGGAGGCTGACACCGTGGTGTAGGTCACAATCTTTAGGGGTAACACGTCACCATGCTGGGGGGAGGGCAGGGAGAGGGAGGGGGGAGCAAGAGAGGAGAAAGGGGGAGAGGGGTAAGAAAGAGAGAGAGAGAGAGTGGGGAAAGAGAGAGGAGGGAGAGATATGTATTACATTATTGTATAACTAGCTCAAATAAAGATCATAATCATACTTGGTAGCAGCAAACAGTGAGAGGACTTTAACTATCCCACCCACACACACACACACACACTACTGCTGTAGTGTAGCCTGCCCATAGCAATATAATTACAACTCTATTTAGAGCTATGTACAGTATATGTCTTTGAGCCTACCTCTCTCTTGGAGATGTCCATGAGCACAGCGAAGCTGGTCATGTGGTTACACTGACAGCTGATGTGTGTGTTGTTCCTGTGCAGTAGCTCACATCCTTTAGACGACCAGCCTCCCGTACCACCAATCCTACACACACACACACACACACACACACACACACACACAGAGGAAAGAGAATAAATACCATGTAAAGAGTGTGTGCGTGCGTGCATGTGTGTGTGTGTGTGTGTGTGTGTGTGTGTGTAGTACTCACTAACTGTAAGTCGCTCTGGATAAGAGCGTCTGCTAAATGACTAAAATGTCAAATGTAAATGTACTCACGCGATGGAGTGATTCCAGAACACACACACAGGTTTGGTCCTCTCTTCTGTCTCCAGTAGTGTGTACTCCAGTGTGATGGGGGGGTCAAGGGGAGAGGGGAGGGGAGAACCCTCGCTGTACACCAACGTGCTCACTATGGGGGTGTTGATCACTGGACGGTTGGGCAGCCTGTTCACACACACACACACACAACACATATACATATGAGCAAGGATGAATGGACACACTCATTTTGATAACTTTTGAAGTAATGTTTACGCATGTGTGACCGCGCGCACTCAAGCAAACACTCCTTTTAGGGAGTTCCAAAATATACATTCTCTGCTGGTTGTGGTCGCTTGGCAACCAGACAAATTGTGCTTTCTGAGCCCTTCTAGTACCAGCGCAGCAGCTATCATATACAAACACGGGGCTAAATATTATGACATACCAACCAAACTGTTCCACATTTAACTCTGCCTTATATGTGTATGTTTCAATTGTAAATGATTTGTTTTAATCATATATAGAGTTTTGAGTGGTCCAAATGTATACAGTGAAAGATTCTGACTGCATGGCAATGACATGTGAGACAAACACCCACAGTATGCCAGGGTAATAATCGGACCTAAAGTAAACAATGGTTTGTGCCAACGCAAATACAGTTGCCATATCTGTTACCACGCTTGAGTAATTTATGACATATGTTATGTCTTTATTATGATGGCTAGATTAGCTACATAGAAATTGATAAAGGCAGTGTCTGGTTATGTCAGATTTTATGAAAGATTGAAGTAAAGTGTAGTAAAATGTAGAAAAGCATTGCACTGGTTACCTGAGGCTCCTACGGTCCGGGTCGTATCGCTCAGGGAGGAGCTGACCCAACGACCTGAACACTATCACCACGGCAACAGGCAGGGGGGCAGCGGGCTCGACATGGCGGCGTCTCTTATTGGATAGGGTGTGATCCTCTTCAGGGGCGTCGGTCTGAGAGGGCTCGACGCTGGGGCTAGGCTCGACTACTAGAGAGTGAGAGTGAGAGTAAGAGTGAGAGAGAGAGAGAGAGAGAGAGTGAGAGAGTTAGAACACCTATTTAAGTCCTTACTACATGCATGAAACACAGATAAATTATATAAAGAATAATAGTGAAAAGCTTTGGAGCACCTTAAATAAAATTTTGGGCAAAAAGGCGAACTGGGCTCCACCATTCATTGAATCAGCTGGCTCATTCATCACAAAACCCACTGATATTGCCAACTACTTTAATGTTTTTTTCTTTGGCAAGATTATCAAACTTAGGCATGACATGCCAACAACTAATTCTGAACATACACATCCATGCATAACTGACCAAATGATGAAAGACAAGCATTGTAATTTTGAATTCCGTAAAGTGAGTGTGGAAGAGGTGAAACAATTATTGTTGTCTATCTCTCCTGGCTCAAAGTAGAGGAAAGATTGACTTCATCACTACTTGAATTTGTGAGAAGTATTGACATGTTGAATGCACCAAGCTGTCTGTTTAAACTACTAGCACACACTCAGACACCCATGCATACCCCACAAGACATGCCACCAGAGGTCTCTTCACAGTCCCCAAGTCCAGAACAGACTATGGGAGGTGCACAGTACTACATAGAGCCATGACTACATGGAACTCTATTCCACATCAAGTAACCCATGCAAGCAGTAAAATACAGATGAAAAAAACGGATAAAAATACACCTTATGGAACAGCGGGGACTGTGAAGAGACACACACACAGGCACAGACACACACATACACACGCATGATAACATACACACACGTACACCTGGATTTTGTGTTGTAGATATGTGGTAGTAGAGTAGTGACCTGAGGGCACACACTTAATGTGTTGTGAAATCTGTTGTGAAATGTAATGTAATGTTTTTCTTATTGTATATAACTGCCTTAATTTTGCTGGACACCAGGAAGAGTAGTTGCTGCCTTGGCAGCAGCTAATGGGGATCCTTAATAAATACGATTACAAATCATGGCTGATTAATTTTGAGTCTTGGTAAGAGACTGGGTTACATGACTGCTTAAGCTTGACTACAAGCACTGGATCTGTTTAATTGGTAGGTCACCAACAAATCCCAAAGGTTTTGATGGATTACAGCCCAAAAGAGTTTGTACAGTTTGCAGTATTCCAAGTCCAGTGGTAGGGTGAGCAGACAACTGTCCAGGTGGCGAATCGCATCTCTGCATGTCTGGCAGACATATCAGTATGGATGACGGATCACCACCTCAAGCTGAACCCTGGCAAGACGGAGCTGTTCTTCCTCCCGGGGAAGGACTGCCCGTTCCATGATCTCGCCATCACGGTTGACAACTCCGCTGTGTCCTCCTCCCAGAGTGCGAAGAGCCTAGGCGTGACCCTGGACAACACCCTGTCGTTCTCCGCCAACATCAAGGCGGTGACCCGCTCCTGCAGGTTCATGCTCTACAACATTCGGAGAGTACGACCCTGCCTTACACAGGAAGCGGCACAGGTCCTAATCCAGGCACTTGTCATCTCCCGTCTGGACTACTGCAACTCGCTGTTGGCTGGCCTCCCTGCCTGTGCCATTAAACCCCTACAACTCATCCAGAATGCCGCAGCCCGTCTGGTGTTCAACCTTCCCAAGTTCTCTCACGTCACCCCCCTCCTCCGCACACTCCACTGGCTTCCAGTTGAAGCTCGCATCCGCTACAAGACCATGGTGCTTGCCTATGGAGCAGTGAGGGGAACGGCACCTCTGTACCTTCAGGCTCTGATCAGTCCCTACACCCAAACGAGGGCATTGCGCTCATCCACCTCTGGCCTGCTGGCTCCCCTTCCTCTGCGGAAGCATAGTTCCCGCTCAGCCCAGTCAAAACTGTTCGCTGCTCTGGCACCCCAATGGTGGAACAAGCTCCCTCACGACGCCAGGACAGCGGAGTCACTCACCACCTTCCGGAGACATTTGAAACCCCACCTCTTTAAGGAATACCTGGGATAGGATAAAGGAATCCTTCTAACCCCCCCCCCCCCCCCCCCAATTGTAAAGTGGTTATCCCACTGGCTATAGGGTGAACGCACCAATTTGTGAGTCGCTCTGGCTAAGAGCGTCTGCTAAATGACGTTAATGTGCCCTTGAGCAAGGCACTTAACCCTAATTGCTCCTGTAAGTCGCTCTGGATAAGAGCGTCTGCTAAATGACTAAAATGTAAATGTAAATGTAAATGTAAACAACTGTACCTTTGTTGGGGACCTCCTGGGGCCTAGTGTTGAACTGTGGGAAATGGACAGAGGACGTGAGATCTTTGGGGTAGTACTCCTGGATCACATGGAAGCGAGGGAATGAGGCCTGCTCAGGGACGGACGTGTCCAGGTAATCAACAACAATGACTAAGGAGAGAGAAAGAACTACACATCAAGACCAGCTCATTATCAAATAAGGGTGATATATTATAATTGCACTGAATGGAAGTAAAACTTGACTGCAGTTCACTCAGAGACTATTTATCAATGGAAGATTTGTTCAAATTCTGTGTTAGGGAGTTAGGAATCTGCTCCTAGACTCTGAAATCATCTCTTCATTGGTCTGTAAATGTGTCTTCACTCACTCATATTGTCAGTGACGATGGTGAATGGTTTGAGGTAGGTCTTCCTCATGTTCTGTGCCAGGGTGTTGGTGTAATCCTCAAAGTGGCGCAGCAGGTGGGCGGTGCCCCCCTCAGAGCGCTGGATCTGCTCCCAGTGGTCTCTGGTGCCAGGGTCTAGGATGGCACTGCCCGCTCTCACCAGGTTCTGAAGGGTTTACAATACAGAGCAGGATGATCAGACAGTAAGTCGCTACAAGTCACTTTGAATATGGGGGAATACAGGCACAGCTCGAACTCTGTCACTCCTGTCTAACTCATTTTAAGTCCTGGAGTAGCAGAAGTTACCTGCTCACGTAGGCCTATATAAGATAAGTGACCTAAAAATTTCACAAACTAAAGAGAAATGCCATAATATAAAGTTAAATAGCTCAGCTTTTTGTAGATTAGAAATGATATTGCAGGTTGATGGTTTTTTTTTGGGGGGGGGGGTAGATCAGCTTAATATTGCAGATAGATTGTAACTTCCATCAATGTAATTGTCTGCATCACTTTTCTCCAAAGCAACTTACAGTCATGCGTGCATATAGTGAGGGAAAAAAGTATTTGATCCCCTGCTGATTTTGTACGTTTGCCCACTGACAAAGAAAAGATCAGTCAAATTTTAATGGTAGGTTTATTTGAACAGTGAGAGACAGAATAACAACAACAAAAATCCAGAAAAACGCATGTCAAAAATGTTACAAATTGATTTGCATTTTAATGAGGGAAATAAGTATTTGACCCCCTCTCAATCAGAAAGATTTCTGGCTCCCAGGTGTCTTTTATACAGGTAACGTGCTGAGATTATGAGCACACTCTTAAAGGGAGTGCTCCTAATCTCATCTTGTTACCTGTATAAAAGACACCTGTCCACAGAAGCAATCAATCAATCAGATTCCAAACTCTCCACCATGGCCAAGACCAAAGAGCTCTCCAATGATGTCAGGGACAAGATTGTAGACCTACACAAGGCTGGAATGGGCTACAAGACCATCGCCAAGCAGCTTGGTGAGAAGGTGACAACAGTTGGTGCGATTATTCGCAAATGGAAGAAACACAAAAGATTTGTCAGTCTCCCCCGGCCTGGGGCTTCATGCAAGATCTCACCTTGTGGAGTTGCAATGATCATCAGAACGGTGAGGAATCAGCCCAGAACTACACGGGAGGATCTTGTCAATGATCTCAAGGCAACTGGGACCATAGTCACCAAGAAAACAATTGGTAACACACTATGCCGTGAAGGACTGAAATCCTGCAGCTCAAGAAAGCATATATACCGTGCCGAGAAAGCATATATACCGGGCCGTCTGAAGTTTGCCAATGAACATCTGAATGATTCAGAGGAGAACTGGGTGAAAGTGTTGTGGTCAGATGAGACCAAAATCGAGCTCTTTGGCATCAACTCAACTCGCCGTGTTTGGAGGAGGAGGAATGCTGCCTATGACCCCAATAACACCATCCCCACCGTCAAACATGGAGATGGAAACATTATGCTTTGGGGGTGTTTTTCTGCTAAAGGGACAGGACAACTTCACCGCATCAAAGGGACAATGGATGGGGCCATGTACCGTCAAATATTGGGTGAGAACCTCCTTCCCTCAGCCAGGGCATTGAAAATGGGTCGTGGATGGGTATTCCAGCATGACAATGACCCAAAACACACGGCCAAGGCAACAAAGGAGTGGCTCAAGAAGAAGCACATTAAGGTCCTGGAGTGGCCTAGCCAGTCTCCAGACCTTAATCCCGTAGAAAATCTGTGGAGGGAGCTGAAGGTTCGAGTTGCCAAACGTCAGCCTCGAAACCTTAATGACTTGGAGAAGATCTGCAAAGAGGAGTGGAACAAAATCCCTCCTGAGATGTGTGCAAACCTAGTGGCCAGCTACAAGAAATGTCTGACCTCTGTGATTGCCAACAGGGGTTTTGCCACCAAGAACTAAGTCATGTTGTGCAGAGGGGTCAAATACTTATTTCCCTCATTAAAATGAAAATCAATTTATAACATTTTTAACATGCGTTTTTCTGGATTTTTTTGTTGTTATTCTGTCTCTCACCGTTCAAATAAACCTACCATTAAAATTATAGACTGATCATGTCTTTGTCAGTGGGCAAATGTACAAAATCAGCAGGGGATCAAATACTTTTTTCCCTCACTGTATATATATATATATTTTTCCCTCACTGTATCTACATTTTATGGACACAGTCAATTTTACAATAATTACATTTTGTTTGTTCTTTCTCCTGAACTTCTTCTACTCTCAACCTCTTCGATCATTTTCATGATGTCCATCCGGTTTGCTGCTATATGCCATATCTTTCTAACTGTGCTCCTTCACAAAAGCTCCCAACCTACAACCCATACACTTATTATGGAAACAGCGTGCCTACATTATTAGTTATCTTGTTATTAGTTGTTGTTAGTTGTTATTAGTCCCATCCTTCAATTCCATTCAACACCTCCCATCTATCTTTTAACACCATCCATATAGGATTTCTATTTGCCATATATATTTCAACTGTACTGTGATGTCTTACAAAAGTTCTGAACCTTTCTATTCTCATTGTTTCTACAGATTGTGAATTGAAAATAAACATTTTTGCTAATAGTATTATTATGTTATTGATCGATTGACTATGACTTTTCAGATCACTCAGGTTGATGTTTATTGTCACGAGTCTTTCCCTGGAGCCAGAACTGAGCGGTTTCCGCTAGATGGGCCAGCTGCAAAGTCAAAATTGTCTATATCGTAAAGATTCATTTAAGGTTAGGGTTAGGCATTAGGGTCAGCAGTGTGGTTAAGGCTATGTTTAAAATCTGATTATTGGACTTTGTAGCTGTGCCAGCTAGTGACCACTCTCCAGAGCTGCCTCCAGTACATTAGTTATCTAAATAAATTCCAACCTGCATTCACATTGGCCAGGTCAGCTTCCCCCTGTTAGTGGAATTGGGAGAAAGCCAGTGGAGGGCAGTATTCCTCCAGTTGTCCCAGTGTAACTGAACCCACCCAGTCGGCTACTCCTGAATAATGCACTGGTAATGCACCTAATGCCCTGCTGTCTGACACAACAGACAAGTAGTGCATGGTCCCTGAGAGAAATACTATGCATACAAAACAAAACTTTAGAAAAATAAGAATATTGCAATTAGCCAGTTTGCAGTCAGCATATTTGCAATGTTGTATTCAAACATTGTTTTTTTGAACAACAACAAACTCTGACCTCGTTGAACTCTGCGTCTCTCGTGGCCGTGAGATCGAAGCCTGTCTGCTGACTCTCGTACTGGAGGACCCTGGTCAGCAGCTGGAAGGCTGTCTTCACATCGTTGCCGTAGTAACTGTCCGTGTGGTTGGTGGCGTTGTGGAGCAGGCGGACGATAGCTTTGGAGCGCTCGCCGTCCATCCTGGACTCGTTACGATGCATCTCCTCATTCTGGAGGGACGGAGGGGAAGAGAAGGAGGTCAAGGATACAGACAGATACTGGAGACAGTTTCAACTATATTGACTGTCTGTGATAGGTTGGTACTAATAGATGAATCCTAACCAGGGGTGAAAGTAGATCACATTTCTTACCGGTATGGGACACCCAAGCACGCGCACCTATTACTTTCATATATGATCTCTGTGGGCCTAGTAGCCTGGGCCAAGTAAAGATTTGTCATATCACTTTTAACATGCAATACCTTTTAACATGCACCTTTGTAATAAAGCATTCCATGCATCCTCGCATTTGCAGACTTACGTGAGACAACCTACTTTTCCTAATGTGATGATTAGACTGAATAGTCATAATTTAGGCTAATAATATAACTCAATCACTGTTCGCAAAAAAGACTGTTCAATGTAGCGTGTAGTGGCTTAGAATAGGCCTAGGATATAAGCTTTAGGCCTATCAGATAACATTTCTTGTTGGCCTTTTATAAACACATTTCATGCAATTCTACTACACTTTATATGACTGGTGATATTAACAGAAACTTTTTTAATACGACAAAAATTACAGGGTAGCCTACTTGGCTGACATTGACAAACAGATCAATAAAAACAATGTTGTCAGATCCATATAATCGGCCTACGAAAAGGGGAGACACAAATACAATATGATATCCATCTAACCTGGAGGAGGAAATTATTGTCCAAAAACAAACAAAAGTGGCATTGACGCAATGATAAAGACAGTGAATATGTGTACTCACCGGAGATATGGCCGATGTTCTCCGCTAGTGCCAATAAGATAGGCTACTGTTCGCTCAATAAGTTGAGAATTTTGGTAACTAAAAGACAGATTTGAGTCTTTTCATTGTCATCTCTTTACAGCAATAGCCATTTGCTTTCCAAACAGTTTTTCCACGATTGTATTTTTAAATATTATGATATGCCTGGCTGGGTCTCTCTGCTTTTCACTGACAGTCACAACTCAACTATCATCTATTTGGTATTTGCCGCGTGTGCTGCCCAATTGTGGGCCCTTCTGACTGTAGGCCATGTGATTTAAAACAGTCCACCGCTTTACAAAAGAACATAAGCTAATGATCCTCTGTGGCCAAGTCATGCTTTCTGGTGTAGTGCCAATTTTGAATGATTTTATTTATTTATGTATAGACAGAAGTAAGCTAATTAGGCTTTTTAATTGGCAATTTAATTCAATTTACTTTAAGGAAAGCTTAGCTTCCCCTAGCCTTATGGACATGCCACCTATGACTTTTAATGTAGCATAAACACAACCAGTCATGATGTTTTCATCTGATCACTTAAAAATGGCGCTCCTGTAGGCTACCCGCGCACGTTTGTCCACTCACAAAATAATTCCAGCATCCAAACCCCTACAGTGCACTGTGCACCCACAATTTGATGAATGGAAAGAGACATCAGTTATAAAACACCTGCATGTATTGTAATGACATTCTGCGATTGTCATTTGGCCTACACTTGTAGCCTGAATTGATGTCCACTGTTATTAACTCGGCCACTCATCTGCCATGCTCGGTCTCAGCTACTAATTTGTGCATTGTCCTCGCGCGTCTTGAACATTCATCTACACTTTGGCAAAATACAAGTGTTCTCGTTGAACCACAACAAAATTTGGCAATTCGCACATTTTTCACGCGGCTGACATTCAGTAATGTTAAATAATGGTGTAATAGCCTAAAGTTTTTTTAGGCATTTTGTGTTACTTGTGATAGGCTCACGGTTTACCGGTATGGCGTACCCCCACTATTTAGGCGTACCCCCACTATTTATTTTGCCAGGACGCCATACCATTTTATTTTCACCCCTGAACTCTAGATTTGCATAAGTGACTCCGAATTTTGTATAATCTTTGAGTGGGAGATTTGCAAGATAAGAGCTGTGTATATGCACATCTGTAGTTAGAATAGGTCTCTGTATGAGTGAACTATGGATGCCATAGCCTTGGACTGGATAAGATCGAGCACACCCACCATCTTCATGAGCTGGGAGAAGGAGCCTGTGGTACAGTTAAAGAGTTCAGGAGGCAGCCAGCCCTTTTCATCACTGCAGTGGCGGATAGCAGTTCCTACAGTGAGAAAAGAAACAAGTTGAACAGTAAGAAAAGCAAAAACAAAAAGGAGGAGAAGAGGAATATTGGGGGTGAGAAATAGTTCAACCGTCTCTTCCTAGCACCAGGTGGCTGCTACACATGGGTGGAAATGGGGAGTTCCTTCAGATAATAAATTAGATAAAAGCACAATCTAAATGCCAACGTCATTACCATTCATCCCAAACAAGCGTTCAACAGAGAAAAGAGTTTACGGTTAGAACTGACAGAGGACCGTTGGTTGATGTGAGCCAAGCCGAGTCACCCAATAAAAACGGCCCAAGAGAGTCTGGCGGGCAACAAAGGGTTTCCGTGGTGACAAGGGTAACTAAGGGGGTAACTAGGGAGGTTACTGTGGTTTAATGGGAGCAGGTCAGTGATGTTACGTCCTGGCCCTGCCCATATTGTCTCTACTGCTAAGGCTCTATGTGGAGCAGGAGGCCCACCCCACCGCGCACACACACACGGCTCTGCGGTTTTATGAATGTGGCTCCAAGCAGAAGTTGCCAAGTCTTCTTCACAATGCCCAGTGTTTGTCTCTGTCTCCGGCTGCTGCCCTCCAGAGACAGAGTTTCACAAACACCATTGGCCAATGACAAGTCTCAAAAGGCCCTGATAGACCAATGAGAGGGCCTCATTAGTGTGCTGTGTTAATGAGTTCCCTCCACAGAAAGAGGTGTTAGGAACAGCAGAAGGCCTTAAACTAAGGGACTCCACAGTACATAATCTCCATTCTCCACCCATAGCATTTGATAACCGTACGAATTGGGCTGAGTATTATTGTGACTGTTCCTGCTATCATAAGAGCTGTGTAGCGTGCAGAGGAACTCACCGATAGATCCTTTGGGACAGTTCATGGCTGCAGGACGGCCAAACTTGGTCTTGGGCCACCAGATCCCTTGGTCGAAGGCCTTGGGACAGCCCTCGTACACCACTGAGAGATGAGAGGGGACAGATGGCACACAGTTAGAAGTGGTCTTTATAATCCCTAACCACTGACACAGGGTCAGATGTTTTGTGATCCCCCTAATGGTTCTGGTTGGTAGTGAGTTATGTGTAATCTGATCCTAGATCTGTGGCTAGGAACAACTTCTGCCTTGAGCATCAAGGGCTGCCTTGGGCTGTTTTACACATATCTAACACGCCCAAGAAACACTACCGCTAACAACTCTTACGAGTCTTTCAAAACAGCCAAACAGGCCAGCAATTATATCAATAATCCTACAGAGTGGTTCCACAACGTTAATAAAAAATTCACATGATTTCTAATTTAGTAGCCTAATCCTAAACAAAACCAGGTTAAGACTTGTATGTGTGTTGTTATGGCTTTTTAAGTAATGCAGTCTGATCATGTGCTGTATTGTATACATACCCAAGTGCTTATATCCTAAGAAATGACCATGATTGTAACTCTTTGAAGACCTTTTATACAGTAGCCACAAGGTTCAGTTGGAGCACTTAGGTGACAGATATGGTATCTAAAAGAGGGAAGGCCTTGAACCAGACTATAGACAGGCAGAGGCTCTGTTCAAATACTCTGAAGATGAATCCTTCCTTCCTCCTGTCATTGGCGTTATAACTGATCTGACATGTCTGGATAAGAGGAATCCTTGCTTTCATGAATCCAAATTGAGTGAGATCAATGATTACATCAAAGAAGGAATTTAAGAGTATCAAACATTTGCATGTGCACCATTTCCTTCCATGTGTATACATACCTTCGCAACCGGTGGCGGTGACCTCAGCGAAGGGGTTGTCACAGCGATTACACTGTTGTCCGATGACCCCGGCTTTACAGGGGCACTGTCCGGTGTGGGGGTCACAAGTACGGGAGTGGGCCCCTAGAGGGAAGCACTCACAGGGGTAACAGGTGTCCTCATCCTTGGGCCGGTAGTAGTTATCCTGGGGAGAGAGATGGGGGAAAGTTAGCGATTAGCACCTTCAGCTAACTAAGCCTACAACATACAGTATTATCTACCAGCCTAGTGTTTTAAGAATGGTTGGTTGATTTGGGACCTATTGGTGAGTTGTGTCCAATTCCTACTAGGTTTGTCATAGTTTACAATTGGGGGGCTTCAAGAGGAAACATAGTTAGATTCATCTTAGGGTCACAGAAAATTCAAAAGGCTTAAGGAGAGTCCAAAACACATTTGAGAAACCCTGCATTAGCCTGTGAGAAGAGTACCAGTGATGATCTTCTTACCTTGCAGCGACACTCTCCGCTGGTCTTGTTACAGTCAGGATTGAACCCTTTGCCGATGTCACAGTTGCAGGGGCCACACATGGGGTTCCCCCACCAGCCCCGAGCACACGGCTTCTCAATCCTGACACATCACACAATAACAACACATTTAGTTGAGTTTAGCACATGAATGGAAATGGAATGCTATAACAATATCACTTAACAACAAAAATGCACTCAACTGCATCACAAATCTAGTATAAACTTTCTATCCCTTGGTAGAGAGACACAACACAGTGAGTGAGTCAAACACTCGCTCTCCAACACATTAATTTCTCTGAGTTGATGGAGGGGTAAGATAGGGGGTTATAATAGGGGCAGGATAGTCAGTAGCAGTGCAGGTGGAGACCAAACACCTATGGAGGAGCACTGAAGCATGAGGGAGTCCCACATCCTGCCTTAGACAGGAAATGATGTGTGACATTTGGGTTAAAGGTCAGTGGGTAAAGAATTTACATACAATCTACCACCCAGAGGAATAGTCAGGAGTATTTTGCTGGCTACTGCAGTACTACAGAAGCCATTTATGGCCAGAACCTAATATAGCTAAAGCTGGCCTGAGGCTCGGCTTACCGTTATATATCGCCAAAAACACACACACACGCGCTCACACACACACACCCGCTACAGACCCCGTTCGCATTTAAACCATACACACCACACACTTGTTACAAGAACCAGTTAATGTCTAGAACAACACACAGTGGTTTCATCTAACCCTCTGGCTCCTGCCTCTGACACTCACGCCAGATTCCTGCTCTAATCAAAGGCAGATCTGGGATCAGTTTTGGAAGATAAAAAATCCCCCAGAGAGCTTAGATCACAGGCCTGGGAACAGCCACATCTGGGGTTCATTCCCAGCAGGCTTACACCAGGTGCTGGAGAAGGACTGTTTTGAGTTAAGGACGGTAAAAGTAGATCCTGTTCCCAGTCAGATGAATGGTGAGGTGCATATTTGTGAAAGACAGAGAGGAAGGTAAGGGAGTAGAGGTTGATTAGGCTAACATGAAAACATGAAGCCAAATCAGGACACACACATAACCACACATGCACACACTTACACAGGCACTTCCACAAAGGGTCCAGGTCTTACTTGTTTTCGCAGTACTGTCCGTAGTAGTTCTGTCCACATTCGCAGGTGTAGCCATGGGAGGAGCTAGGCTTGCGGACGCAGGTGGACACGTGCTCGCAGGGGTTGAGGTGACACGCGTCAACACACTCCCTCCCAAAGTACCCTGGGAAAGGGCACAGGTTACAGAGAGAAGGTCAACAGGTCTTCAACAACATGGCAGAATTATACACAGTCATATAATGGAATGAAAACTGAAAGCTGAAGACTACAAAACAACATTGCTATGGTGAACAACTTTCAGAGCAAGTGAATGGTGTGAGACGAGATGCAGACACAGGTGTGTGTATGTACTGTATGTGTGTGTGTGTACAGCATGTGTGTAACCTGGGTCGCAGACGCAGGTGTGTGTTCTCCAGTCATCGCCTCTGCAGTGGCTGTTCTCAGGGCAGATGTTAGAGTCACAGGGATCAGCCAGGTCACAGCCCTCCTCTACATGAATCTTAAAGCCCTGCAGCATGTTCACATTGACCACGGGTGAGGTCCACCCTCCACACCTGGAATAAACCCGCATCTCCATTGGCCCGGTAGTCACACCACGTACCACACCCTGTAAGCAAGATAGTCAGTTATCCAAGTAGGTACAGACATTTCAAGTATAAGCATCCAGACATGGTTACTGTTAAAACGTACCTGTACATCGGAAGCCATCGGGAGGTCTATGGTTACATGGTACACTCT